TGTGTGTGTGTGTGTGTGTGTGTGTGTGTGTGTGTGTGTGTGTGTGTGTGTGTGTGTGTGTTTTGTTTTAGTGTTTTTTTTTGTTGCCTCTGTCAGCTTCTCAGTACTTTTCCACTCCATTTGCCACTCTCACCTGTTGTCACTTCCAATCAGCTCAGCTGCTCATCAGATCTCATTAACCTTTGTTCCATAACTGATTCGTCTTCACTCCATTTTAAAAAAAAAAATGTAAGGATTAGACTACCACGTTGGTTTTACAGCACCTGGTATTCCCAAGCAGTCTCCCAGCCAACCATAACCAGGCACGACCCTGCTTAACTTCTGAGATCAGAGTGGTAAGACCGTAAAAACCAATAGAAAACCTTTGACTATTAGGTCAGACTTTCTATTCGAATCTTTCACTTTCAAGTAAGGATTGGGGTCAAAACTTTTCTCAAACTCAAGCACACAAGAGAACTCAGTGAAATACATTGGAAATTTTAATATGTGCGTTTACAGAAAGCATGTAGAAACCAAATTTATGCATCACATTTTGATAAATAAGGAGAACATTAGGGGTGCACCAAAAAAATTGATTCACATCCGATCTGTGATTCTCATTTACAGCGATTCAGAATCGATATAAAATGTCCCAAAATTGATTAAAAAAATAAAAATAAAAAATCCAGTGGTAGTCAGCCTCTGGTTGTATGCAAGAAGCAGAGAGCACCAAAGCAAAGAGGAAACTACAAAAGTGGAGGAAAGAGAGATTCAGCTCGTTCTGTTTTTTGGCATAGTTGAGTTTGACATGAGCTTCACTGTGTGCAAGGTTTACAAAATGWAGAAGCACTTTGGGAACACAATACATTATCAGTTATGAATTAAAAAAAAGGTCAAATTGTGCCCCCAAAATTCAGAATCATATTGTGAGATGGTAAAAGATTGCCTCCCCTATTGAATATGAATCATTTTCTATCTTAAATGCACATCTTTCAGTGCCAAATGCAGTGACTTGTCAATCAACTGAGCTGGCCAATCAGGTTCCACCTCTCCAGTTCTGCCCCTGATTTGAGATACCCCTTGGTATATTTAACCTAACCTGCTGACAAAGACTAATAAAAAAAATCCAGCGTATATCTCCAAACAGTAGCCGCAGAGCTCCAGCCTCTTTTATGTTTTCATTAACTTTATGAGCCAACCGTGTGCAACAGGAAGGCCGGGGTCAGCACTTTTTCCTCTGGTAAAGAGGCGGATGTGAGAGTTGCGTTAGCTCGTTTCAAAGTCTTGTAAAAAAAAAGATTTTTGCTGCAAGTAAGCGACAGGAGCGTGACGGCGAAGGACGTGGGCTTTGGGAGTGTGTTGAACGGAACAAGCAGCGATGCAGGCGCACACATCTGGTAGCCTAATGCTGCGCCACGCAGAGACAACCGCCTAGTCAGCGTTTCTCACGGCTCGGATCAGGCTGTTTTACTGTGTGTAAAAAGTAAGACAAAAGAAAATGTAGCTGCTAATCACTAGCTGCATAATTCACCTTACATAACAGAGGTGGAAAGCAAGTGGTGAAAGGTTTGTCTTGGAAGCAGCATGAGAGCAAAGTTATGGAGATTAGGTTCTATCAAAGGCCACTTTTCTATTCAAAATAAACTGATCTCTGCTTCAGACCATGAGTGAGAATAAATAAAAAAAAACATTTTCCCTCGAGTATCGCAGACTTACTATAACWCTGACGCAGACAGGAAAGATGATCCAGCATTCTTCCGCCAATCATCACAAATTTGTGTCTTCATCATAAAAAAAGAATAAAACAGCTCAAAGATAACAAAACCAGATCCCAGCACAAAGGTTGTTGTTTTACAGGAAAGCCCAGAGTTCAAGAAGAACAGGGGAGATTCAAAAATGTGTGAATAACTCAAAAAAGGACTCCAGTGTYTATTTTTTGTGCCCGAATTTAAGCAAAAGCGGGAAGAAAGCAAGAGACGTCGAGATTATTTTCCTTTCTTAACCTGTTCTCTGTTGATTGTCAAAACTTGGGACTTCATCACTTCAACACAGTGCTTGTTGTTGAGCTGCAGAGCCCAGATGTATCTACTGCTTCATCCAAAATGCACAACTTTGATTAAAACAATTCTTTAACACTCTCAGCAGTTGCTTTATTTTTGCTTTATTAAGCAAAATCCCCCCCCCTTTTTTTAGCATTACCTCATTCCTTGCTTTGACTCATTCATGCACGTTGAGCATCTCATCATGTGGAGTTGCCTAAACCCTTGCTGGTGCAAAGCACCGCCTATTTATACAAAGCTCCTCCTCCCCAGTCTGCAACCAAGTTCCTGCTCCACAGAGCACCTCTCCAGACATACTGAAGTGGGAGTGTTAGAAAGAGTAGGAGGTTCTTAAAGAGACAGGTTACACCCCTTTTACAATGTCAAACAGTAACCAGGATAGATGTATAATGGGGGGAAAAAATGAAGAATCCAGTGAATATTTGTTCTTGGAGAGGGGATTTTCTGTTCAAATGTTTAAAAGATAAGAAATGAAGCCACACTGTGATGGTTAACTATCTGTTTTGGACCTATTAATAAACAATGTTGAAAGAAAAAGTCGCTTTTTATTTATAGTACAATACATACTACTGCTTTCATTTCCTGTCTGTAGAATGAGCCGAAGCTATTTTGGTGTGAAACCTTTAGCCTGGCCATCTTCGGCAACGTCAAGATATCAATTTTACTCGAGCCGACAGGCTGAGAAAAAAACAAACAAAATACAAAACTTAAAAAAACAAAACAAAACAAAATGCTTAAATTAACAATGAAAGTCTGACAAGTAAGCTTGCATCAAATGAGAACGCGTCCATGTTTTCAGCTGCTGTGAACCAAGTTTGGAGCAAAAGCTCCAACATTTAGTGCCCAAAAAAGGCTCATGAGAACAATGCCTGTAAAGTTGAAGTGAGAGCCTGAGCCAACACACACACAGCTGAACCCAAAGCTGCAGAGACTCGAGGAGAAAACAAACAGAAAGCAAACATTCTTTTAAAACAGAAAAGCTCTAAAAAGGTTCTTGTTTTTGCTGGGTGGGCTTACGCAATCTGCTGAGAATCCTTGTTTGCTCCTAGTTTTTGAACCTGGATGAAACTAATGAAGAAAAACATGGYGTCAATCAAAGCGCATCAGGTCAAGGCCCAGGCTGTCCTCTGTCATCCTGCAGGAGGGCGATTCCCTTTACACACTTGCCAAGTGCTAATGTGTTTTTTCTTCAAATTCTCRTAATGCATGGTGATTCTGGAAATTAGTGCTACGAAGGAAATAGAATTGAATAGAACACTGTGAAATCAGACTAAAAAGATGCAAACTCAGCTTGTTTCTGAAACTCATAAATCGCTCCAAAGTCRGTGGGGACGTCACGGTTTGTGGGCGTTAGATCCAGAAATGCAGACTGAGTAAAAGGAGCTGAAAAAAATAATAATAAAAAAAAATAAAAATGGTTGGTGTTTGGTGTGTGGCAGAGAAAGTGAAAGTCGTATTTCAGAATATTAAAACACATATTTATCAGATTGCTGTGGTAATATCCTATGCTTGAACTTCCACTGTCAAACAATCAGAATCACATGTTTTGATCCCTCTCCTCTTCYACAGAACACAACTTATACAGTAAACTCATGATTTAAGTAAGTTTTGAGGGATTTAAAGATATTAACATGATAAATACTTTATATTCATTGACTGATGAAGTTAAAGGATAGCAAAAGATGTAGCAAACACAGAGATTTTAGTCCCAAAAGGAGCTCCTGTTCTGTGATAACTCTGACTTTCAGCTCAGATGTAGCACAGCCTGAACAGTGCTCAACATCATGYTTTGGATTAATGTGCACTTTGATCAGTAAATACTGATAAATATGACATTTCAGGACGCCGCTACACTCCATTTTTTTAGCTGTAGGTCTACATATGACACATGCAGAACTCAATGACAAACACAATGTTGATCAAGCATCATGGAGCCAGTTAAAATTGATTGATTTCAGCCTGCTGCGTGTCAGAGGTCAAGCTGACAAACAAATCTTCACAGGAGCCAAAGTGGATTTTTCATGATTTTTTTGTAGTGACCCACTCTGATATTCTTTTTTGTCTTCTTTTAACAGTGTGCATACAAAGTAATGCAGCATATACCAGACATGTTTGGAGCATAACTCATCTGTGTCCATGTGGAGCAATTAGATCGTGGAAAAAGAAACATCCCTGTTATTATATCCCAGACGTCTGCATGACATCATGATCTGCAGACTCAACAATCACATCAAACTCTTTTCTGARAAGCATTAAATGGAATGAAAAGTTCAAAATGTAAAAAATAAAAATAAAAAAATAAAAATAATTACATCTATTTTTAAATTTATCTGTGAAATGACATAATTATTTTGTCTCAAGTAAAATTAAAGGAGTGGAATTAAATGTAAAAATATCTGTAATATAGATATAACAAGAAGATCACATACTCCTTGACCAMATGATTGTATTTAAGGGCTTTTAATTTAAAGAGGTAAAATTGTATCTTTAGTAAGGAAAGTCTACCACCTAGTGGGTAACGCAAAAATAAAAATCCTGTTTCACATCAAAGTTTCACAAAAACCTGAGTYGAATAAACTATAAAGTATTCAGCTTGTTATACACAAAGCATGATCTGGTATTTCCTGAGAATGCAGTAACTTGTGAAAAAAAAAACATAATAAAACATTTTAAACCTTTTTAAAAAAATTAAACCTTTTTATTCAGGCACGTTTTAATACCAAGGATCCCTGACCTTTTTCTCATTTTTATTGCTTTTTTTTTTTTTTACTTTTTCAGTGAAGCACTTTGAGCACATTTTGGCCGTTGGAAATAGTTTTATAAATATATATTTTTTATTAAGAAAAATGAACACATAAAAAATGTCAAACTAASTGTTGAAGTCAGGAGTGCAGGAGTATTGGAAGAACTGAAACTTTCAGCAAAACCAGCCAAACATTTCTCATATTTTTCTACAACACAGAAATTATAAAGTTTTCAAAATGCATAAACTTTATTAGATTTTCATTAGAACTACTTTTTGGATCCACAAGAACTTTTTCAAGCTCTATAAAACAAGAAGCTTAATGACAAAATCTATATAAAAATATATAGAAAACAGTAAATAAGAATAAATGGGATTGGAGGGTAGCTGATGATGATGTTGAAGGCGATRCAGATCACAAAGTACAGGAAGAATTTCCAGAAGTCGATCAGCACTTTGAGCAAAACTAAAGAGTTAAACAGAAAAAAACACAAAGGTCACACAGAAAGATTAAATGTTTTATAAACTGATATGATGTTACCTGTTTATATGCCTTTTACGAGCAAAAACGCCTGTTTGTAAATATTGTACATGCTTCTACTTAGAAAAGATTATTGCAAAATTATCCTTTTTTTAAATTTTCTGATCTTACTATTTATAAACGTATTTGAGTAAAAAAAGTTTTATCCTATAAACTGTTGTGATTTCTTGTACATTGTAATTTAGAGCATTTATTCATACATGACAACAGGTCAGAATAAAAGGAAAAGTGTAGGCTGAATGATTTATTTTATTACTTAAAGACGTAAAATAGCCGATTTAAAATCGATCATCGGAACCTTTGAAAGTTTTAGAAGATTTTTAACAGACGGACCGCCCGGTGTCACACCATCAACTGTCCGTCAGGCTTATCCGGGCTAAACATCGCTCAAGCGAGTGCGCTGAATTWGTGTTTTTGTAGCCGTGGTTTGAAAACTGTTCATGGACTGCATGGAGCAGACAAACACAAATGCAGAACCTCCGTCTTTTATCGACAGGTACTTCACACGGTGGTACAGAGCAGGTTTGTAAAGTTGGAATAAAAACGTCACTTAAAKCTAAAGAAGCTAACCTCCTTTTGACACCATTGAAAACTGTATTATTAAAGAATAATACATTAATAATAAAACGTGTGTCGTTTATTGTCTTTTTAACTATTTTAGATATGAAGGGGAAACCGTGTGAAGACCACTGCATCCTTCAACATTCAAACAGGTAACTTATAACAGGTGGTGATTACAAAACACCCCCAAAAAATTAACTTTCTGTATTTTACTGACACAGTATCATATGATTTTTAGTTCCTTCTTGCTGAACTTCATTTAAAAATGATTTAGCAATTAATCACAACTTGTGGCAAGATAAAAAAAAACTTTGCAAATATCCCCTCATTTGATTTTGAAAAYATACCAGTGATTCAGTCAAATTAAGTGTTTATGTTACATGCCCAAAAGATAAGAATGAATCGGACACTAACGTAAACCTTAACGTCATACTATTCTTTGAACAATAATCCACACACACACACACCTAACAATGTTAGCTTTGTAAAGACTGAAAGGCTCTTTCACAACCAGCACTTTCATTTTTGTATTTAAAAATCTTGATAGATTTGATAAATGTAAGTTTCTCCTCGCAGACTTTGTGTCGTCACCTTAGCAGAGACCCACCCGATCATTCAGAAAGGATTACCAATCAAAAACATCAATTACCAGATCAGTAACGGCTGCAGTCGCCTGACTAATAAAGTGTCTGGGAAGTCCAAGCGGGTAATGTAGTGCACACTTTCCTGTTTTGTGACAATGTTTATGAAACTTTAGGTTTATTATTCTCATATKTCTCCCATCTACAGGGAGGGCAGTTTCTTACTGATTTTGCACCTTTGTGTCGGATCACATGCTCAGACGAAAAAGAGTACACGATCTACAGGTGAGGCTTTTGTTGTTTTTCTCAAGACGTTTACTTCTGATGTAATGTTTACTCACTTGRCTGCTTTAGTTGCATCCGGGGACGTCTTCTGGAGGTCAACGAGAATATTTTGGAAACTCCAAATCTCCTGCTAGAAAAGGTACATATCCATATTTTTACTATTCTTTTTATTATGAACAGTTTCAGTCTTTACATCTGCTCATGTACCCTAAGGTTTACTTTTTTTGCATTCGGATCGTTGAGACTCTCAAGTCTGTGCTTAAGACCCATTTTTACTCATTGGCTTTTTTTTTACTTACTTTTGAACATTTCTGTGTTTCTTTGTTGTTTTATCTGTTCATTTGGCTGAATTGTGAAGTACTTTGTTCAACATTTGTTTTTATGTTCTGTATAAACATATTGACATTAAATAATTTATAATCTAATTTGGAGGTATATTCTTTTTTTGGAGATTATTAGAATGCATTACTTTAATAACTTTATATGGCTTTTAGTTTAAACTTTTTAAAATATTTGAACTGATTGTTTTTTTTTTTAATTCTTAACAGCCATCTACTGAAGGATATATTGCTGTCATTCTGCCTAAGTTTGAAGAAAGCAAGACCATAACAAAAAACCTCCTGACTCAAGAGGAGTTTGAGAAGATAGTCTCTGAACGTCACCAGACCCCCAACCCTCCTGATGAGGCTTCTGYTGACTTCCAAGTATCAACTGTTGATGACTGAAACCTTTGTGGGATAAAACCACTCCAGAAAGACTTAAAAAAAAAACTGTTTCTTCAGGATATTTTTGGTTTTGTTGAAAGATTCAGTATGTTTTCAGCTTTTACATGCTTTATTTTTTTCTGTTGCCAATTTGAAGGAAAGTATGAAAACATATGTTTTATTATTTAAAATAAAAAATAAAAAAACAAGCAATTTAGGAAAAAATATTTTATTTTTTGTCCCACTGACCTTTCAAATTTCAAAAAAATGAGGTGATTTGAAACTATATATATTTCCCGCCACATATCTGTCACTTCAGTACAATACCAAGAGTTTCCTGTAGATYACACATTTCAGTCTCATCCTCACCTTGTACCTTAGTCATTACTTTAGGATCATATACTGTATAATTCAAGTACCATAATATTTATAGCTCTAACTTAATACATGTTGGCCTGTTTTGCAGCTTTACAGTGATAGTCTTCATAACAAGTACACTTGAATGTTCCATTTAACAAAGACATTACTCACAACTAAAGCAAAAGTTCAGATGTTCTGAAGTGGGATTCTGTGGGAATATTATTCATTTTTTTTACCTGTTGTAGACTATCCCTCCAAATTGAGGTCATTTAAGGAGCTATCTACAACAGGTAAGATATTAATTGTTCATGATGATTCCACAGAATCCCAGTTGAAAGAAACGAACTTTGACAAGCTTTTTTTTAAAACCAGGCTCAAACAAACAGAAAAAACAAACTCCAGYGATGAACACTCGAGAACAAAGTGTCTTATAAGAAGCTAAAGAGCGGATTCTTCACAAGAACAGTTGCATTTGGGAAGATTTTTTTTATTTTTATATAATGTCCAATAAAATGGCACATGGGGGAATGTTTGGTAGTGAATATGATGGCAAACAGCATGATGTCATCTGGTTAACAGTGAGATGGTTATTCTAGATATCACCCCTACATCTAACACATAAAACTGTTAACATTATAACGTTGCGACCGTACAAGTGTAGCAATGATGGCGTGTTTTTTATTTTCTGGCTCTGCATCACTGTTTTTTTGTAACTCGTGCAACACATTTACAGCACAGAACAAATGGGCTGGTTACACATAGGCACATAGTGAAGACAGATCTATGGCTGGGCTATGCAGCGAGTGGASTTCTCCCCTAAATTTTCTTTTTAAATCATTATATCTAATAATTAAGATAAAAGAGAAGTGGCTCCAAAAACGTAGCTTTCTTTAGAAGACGTGTCGTGTTGGCTGATTGTCTCCATCCAGTGGACGAGAGTAGAACTGGTGCCTCAGTGCTTTTTGTCCTCCAGSTGTTGAAAACAAATCCCTGCGTCGTCTTCACACCACAGCTGCAGTCCTTTCAGTTTCATTAGTTTCAGGTTGCCCTCAGAGGTAAGGTTGGGTATGTGGTGGGCTGATGGGAATAGCGAGGAGAGAGAGAGACGGGGGAAAAAAAGGAGATTATTTGCTCTCCAGGAGGTTGAGRGCGGCCATGTGCTGCTCCATGGATTTGACGCCAAAGCCGTTCGTGTTCTTGYTGCTAACAGAGCCGTCCTCTTTGACCGGACTGGGTGCATCCTGCCTTTCCCTCCAGTCCTGTGGAGAACYAAGGCTCGTCTTCTCTGATTTGTACTGCAAACGGACAGGATGGAGAAGGAATTATACAAAACAAAAGCGCCTAAACACATTTTTCTTTTTTTTTTTAAACATATTAGAAAGTAAGCCCATCAATTAACTTTAAAGTCACTTTTTCTACTCATTTCCTTGTTAACAAAAGAGTTTTAATTAATTCTAATGACCAAAATGTGGTGTGACAAAATCTTACTTCAATCTGATGGTAAGATTATGGC